TTCGTGTCAGAGAGTATGAGGTTTGTGTCTTCATATAACTATCTTCTGTTTTTTTGTTTCTTTCCACAAATGCAAGCTCTTTTTTTTTTTCTTTTAGCATTTTTAAGATATTGCGGATGCGTTATTGTTGATTAATACTTAAATTTGCTATATAAAAACTTTATACTATTTCTTTTGAATATGCACATTTTTTGAGAGTGGAACTATAATTCTTTAAGTATAATTCAGTGTAATTAATCTTTTAGTTTTGTGGACACTGGGCAGTTTTTGTTCTTTGCAACAAGTGGTTTTGAAATCCATGCATGTTTGCATACTTATGTATGTGTTAAGTGTGACTCCATTTTATGTGTCTTGTGTTATAGTACACATCTTCATGCAGTAGAACAATACAGGGTAATACGATGATGGCAGAGCAGCTCCTGTATGGCAGATTCCTTTAGAAAATGGTTACCTGGTTTGAAATCTTGTACATGTTTTATCATTAATCTTGCTTTGTTAACTAGATGACTTTGACCCCGTATTTAATGTTTCTTTTGGTGGAACTTTGTGGATTTAGGTTTTCATCATACCCTTATTTTTTGCCTTAGTTTTTCTGAAGCAGTTCCAATGCTCATCTTGGTTAATAATACTTTACTGAAAGGCGTTAAGTTCAAAAGTTTCCTTAAATTTCTAGCTTAAATTTTGGTTGCTCTTGCTTCGTCAATGGGAGCTACGACTTCTGAGAACAATATATGATATAATGGTTCTTTGTCATTATTCCTAAGTCGACTAGGAAATAGGCTATTCTTTGTTTGTATCCCCTGGATCCCCAAATGGGCTCCTAACATAGAGATTCCTCTTTGTTCACTAACCAATAACAAACACAGTGGAGTTAGTGAATCTGATGGTGGTGGTTTTGGCGTGCATCAAGTTGCTACTAATAGGCAATGGGGGCCTTTTCCAGAGCATGCTGGTGTGTGATATAATATAATAGCTCGATCAGTTGATGATTCCCTCCCAATGCGTAATCTAAGTTCCTTTATCTTTATCAATTGCCTCTTGGTAATGCTGCTTTTTATTTTACGAACATCCACTTTGTAATACTACACCTCAATGTAATGCTTTTTGTCCCCACTCCCCCCAAGCCCCCTTCTCTCTCTCTCTCTCTCGGTAAAATGCTGTGAAGCAAATGAATCTTTCAAACAATCAATAAAGCTCTGGCTTAGTTAATTACTCATCTGAATGTGTCAAAAGCTGGTGTATGCATTTAAGAACTGATTTATTCACGTCTTTGTAAATGAGCTCTTGACCTATTAATGGTAGAAAATAGAGTGCTTTACTTGAGACCAGTATATTCTATATTCTGGCATATATTGTTTTCTTGTTCTTTGTTCATTTTATTATGCATAAATTGATAAGTAGTAGATTTTAGGTGCATATACTTTTGCATGCACTTGTAGAAGGTTTCCTTCCCTTATTTTAGTTACACTATATGTCATTTCATCACTTGCAGGTTCAGGATTCATTTCCCTTCTCCATTGGATTTACATCAGGTGAAGGTCCAATCAGCACGGTGTCCAATGGAGTGTTATTTCCAAAAGGTCATCCATTTCCTAGTGTTAAGATGCTTACATTGCATAGAAGTAATACTTTCCATATAGAAGTCTTCTGCTCTGACCAAAATGAATTGCCTCCCGACACTTCACCTAAAATCAGCAAATTTACGGTATGGCTGATATTTACATTTGTCTCTTTTGCTTAATGTTTCTATATTGTTAAGATTTTCATTGGGGATTATATGATATATTCTTGAAGTTTTCATATGGGAGATTATTTGGGCCTTCTTGTGTGATTAGTGATTGGGTAAAAATCCCTCCGCATTTCTATTGCAATAAATTCATATTTAACTCTTGATATTGACTTTAGATGACTTGGTTTTTTTTTAGTACTAGTTTTTATCGTCTACAACTTGCTACATCCCATTGTAACAAAGGATTGGAGCCCCCTTGCCCTTGTTAAGATTTGCATGGTAATCAATAAAGCGTTGTTGACAACTAGTTTCTTAGTTGCTCGGGGTTAGATCTTTTAAGAGAGCTTGTATTCGACATCGAATAATTAGGACCACTAAGGTTAGTTTGTATACTGGGGGAGTCACTTCATTCATTGCTAATTAGTTTTGGGTTGGATGCTTTAACATGGTATAAGAGTTAGCCATGGGTGGCTAATGAGTTAAGTTTCTTACTCATTTGAATTTTCTGGTATGCATAATTGTTTGTTTGTTGACCCCACATGCGAGGCCAGTTCCCACGTGAGGGAGGGTGTTAAGAGAGCTTGTATCGCACATCGAATAATTAGGACAATAAAAGTTAGTTTATATACTGGAGCCACTCCACTCATTGTCAGTTGGTTCCAATATACAACTTCTTATAAATGTGTTTCATAGAAATCTCTAAAAGAGAGGATCCTATGGTTGGAAGGTGTCCTGTATAGCCTTTGCTTAATTTAGTCACTTTGCGATTAAGTTTCATTTTAGCGGCTGATTGTTCATGATTCTTGTAATTGGGGTTTCTTGAATAGCAGAAAGTGGTTGCTCCCAGAGAGATGTTGCATGTTTCAAAAGACATATTTTTTCACTTCAATATTTTTCTATGAATCATACTGTAATCCATTGTTAAACTGAAACTCATATTGATGGTGAACTACTATTAATTTTCAAATAAGAAAGGCGAAAAACATTGTGCAATATGAAATTGATGCAACTAGTTCGTAATTATAGGTGCAACGTTTTACAAAGAATTTACTTGGTATATGTGCTTGCATAAGAGATGTGCAGCTAAACTTAAAACAAAATAATCGTTTATACAGACACTCATCAAAAACTTTTTTATTTGTTCTTCGGTCATCTAGAGGTGTGTAAATTCACATCCTTCTTGGATCCGGTATCATAAGTCATATTGTTTCGACTCTCTGGAAAACCAGTCTTCGGGTATCTAGGCATGGTTTATGCAATGATTAGTATAATTGTTCCTAGATCTCTTGTTTGGGCTCATCATAATAAAAAATGGTTGAACAACAGAGTCCAGTAATCTTATAGTTTGAAGGTTTTTTTTCACAAGATTTATCTATTCTCTTTTTACTTTGTTTTCATTATTCAAAATTTTGGATGATGCTATATCCTTTCTCCATGTGGAGGTTTTCATTGGGATTTTTTTTTTTCCAACTTAAGATGATTATTAGTTGATTCTGTAGATTGGCCCATTTGAAGTTTCCAACAGTAAGCAGACTAAGGTCAAAGTTAAAGTTCAGCTAAACCTTCACGGAATTGTTACTGTAGAGTCAGCCTCAGTAAGTATCAATTTGTTGTTTCATATTGTGAAAATATATTGAGCTTGAGTCACTTTATTATGATAAATAACAATTTGTTGTTTTTTTGTATCATCGTACCAGCTTATAGAAGACTCCTGGAATGATTCTACTGTAAGAAGTGATTCTCATTTGACTTCAGAGAAGGCGAAGGCTGACAATGGTGTGTCTTCTGATGTAGCAAATGGTTCTGATGATACTCATTTTACACACTCCAATGCTTCATCTACATCTGGTGTAAGTTCAATTGGAAATTACTGTGTATATCCTTCCCTGTACTAGTTTGGATTTGAATATATTGAGTTGTCTTCATTATATAAGAGGAGTGAGAAATACTTGCATAGTGATAACCTATGTTGCACCCTTGCAGACAAATCACACCCTTGACCACTATGGAACTGCCTATCTTACAATATATTGGAAATGATAATACATGTTATGACAGTTCTTTGTACTGAATCATCTTTATGATTCATTTTTAATCAGCCCAAAGTTCTCTTATGACAATGATTTTTCTTTTCCTAAACCACGAGTGTACTCTTACCTGCGGACCATCCACTGTGTGTCCTGTGTATGTTATAGAAGTGTTGATGGGAGCATGCATAATTACTATCCAGAAAGTCTCCTTTTGAATTCCAATGCTTCTCCTGTTTTTCTTTGCTGTCAGCTGCTTGCCTCATTGGTAATTGATAGTGTGGCCTTATTTGTTAAGAGAACTAAAATGGAGAGGAGTCAAACTATTTTTATTGATGTGTAACTTGTTCATGTGTGGAACTTGCCTTAGTTTAGTTGGAAAATTTTCATGTCTGATACATGCCAGCATTAGTGTCTGTGCGCCTTTGTATCAGTGTCTCTGCAATTGTAACAACTTGGTTCAAATTCAGCAATGCCCTGTATTTTATTGAGGACTCACAAAACCCTGGCTTAGTTGTTGGTGCTCATCCTTATTTATTACTTCATTAGTAGGTTATGCCAGCTATAACTCAATTTCTAGTCGTATGAATTAAGCTTATTCAGTCAAATCATGCTAAATAAATGTCTGAACTCTGAAGTTGGATCTGTAAATGACATGAGACAAATTCTTTGTGCAGGCTGATGAGATGAAAAAGGGAAAAGTCCGGAGGCAGGATATACCTGTTAGTGAGAGTGTTCATGGTGGCATGACAAGGGCTGAGCTCTCACAAGCTCAAGAAAAAGAACTTCAGTTGGCCCAGCAAGACATAAAGGTGGAGCAAACTAAAGAAAAGAAAAACACCCTGGAGTCTTATGTCTACGACATGCGCAATAAGGTACAGCTTCAACAGTCAGACATGGTAGTTGTATCATTATCCCATGCTTGTAAAAATGGTCCTGGGTGATGAATCTGTTTGCAAAAACACTAATTATAAATAATTTGGTTTTACATAGCCTTTGGTGGAGTCTATATAGTTTAGTATGTGAACGCTCAATACCAGTGTTCACATGACAAAATATGTCATGCTTGATGGACCAAATGTTTGGAATGTGAAAAAAAGGTGGTTAGGGATGACCTGATTGAGTTACTTGAGTAAGCAATGACTATTTGAAACATGTAATATACACGTTGCAAAGGAAATTTTCTTTTGTTTTCTGTTTCTTTTGACTTGACATGTATAATTATCTTTGCCTGATTCACATGAAATTAATTTAAAGTTTCCAATTCCTTTTTTATTTTTTAGTTTTTAGTTCTGCTGCAGATTCCTGTAGAAGAAAAATAAATTTAGATATGTATTGGTAATTTGTATTTTCAATACCCTATTTGAAGCTTTTATATCTTCAGGAGATTCTTGTAGAAGTAATTTGATGCCATAGCAATAGATGGCTGTTGGTTTGAAATTCTTCAATTGTTCCCCTTATGATTGGGAGGCTAGTATTTTTCTTATATTTCATCTTCCTTTTATTCTTAGGTTACATGCATGATTCCTTGAATGTGTAGACAAATTTCATCATTTTTATGACAAACTCTGATTCATTCTCACATTCCCGACATCTTTTTCACCTGTGTCCATATTCGTGTACAGGCAGCTTCAGCTGTTAATGATTTAGTTTTCAGTGTCCTTAAAGTGCTTTTTTGTTTGGTAAGTTTTTACGTATTGGATTTGAGAATGACAAAAGCATATAAATAGATTTTTCATACATACCGGAGCTTTGCAACGGACTCAGAAAAGGAAGGGATCTCTAGGACCCTACAACAGACAGAGGAGTGGCTCTATGAGGATGGAGATGATGAATCTGAGCATGCCTATACTGAGAAGCTAAAGGATCTTCAAAGGGTATGCATAACTTTCTTAAAGTTGGCTCTTCATTTTCTGTTGGCTCTTGTTCAAGTTTAGTGGTAAAATGCTGGGGCTAACAATCGTAAGGTTGTAACTTCACATTTGATGACACCTAGTTGGTGCAAATTATGCCAAAGTTTAGACCCAGTCCACCCTTGCCAGCACCCTCTATTAATGGGGACCAAGCTGGGTGATGACTTTCATGACCTTTGACCCTTTTACTTTTACTTGCTAATCATTACATTTGATTTCTTGTTTACTCTAGTTAGTGGATCCTGTTGAAAATCGATATAAAGATGAAGAAGCTCGGTCAGAAGCAACTAGGGATTTATTAAATTGCATTGTAGAAAATCGGATGGCTGTGGGACAACTTCCTGCCAACCAGAGAGATGTTGTATGATCCTTCTACCCTTAATGAAAATTGTTGTAGGACAGATGGAAAGATAATTGTGATGTTGGTAGTGTGCTGATATTTGATATATTTTCGCATTGTTCTTCACAGGTAATCAATGAATGCAACAAAGCTGAGCAGTGGTTGCGAGAGAAGACTCAACAGCAGAATTCTTTGCCAAAGAGTGCCGATCCAGTATTGTGGTCAAGTGAAATCAAATGCAAAACAGAGTCTCTTGATGCGTATGTTTCTCCTATACTAATTGCATAATGGTTTTAAAATTGTAAATTACTGAAACAAGGTAAAACTTTAGTGGCAGAGTTCTAATTCAGTTTATTGGCGAGAGCAGTACTACTTTATAATTGTTCAAAATTTGACCCTCTAGATGATTGCAATGATCTATTATGTCTTATTGAATTGGCTAGACTGGAAAGGAGGTTTATGGAGAAAGGAACCATGTGACACATGGGTATAGTGATCACTGAATTGTATTAGTTTTCAGTTAAATACTTGGCTGAGACATTGGTTGTGGAGTAAAGCTGTGTATGTAGGTAACAAATTGGGTTTGTCTAACTTTGTACCCATGGTTTGAGAATTTTGATTCGTACTTGTTTTTGATAAATGTAACATGAGCCCGATTATTTAATAGTACCTGCTTATAAGGATACATAATATTTGACATCCTCATTATCAAAAAGGAAAAAATTGTCCATTGAATGCAAGAAAGGTGGCGCAATAATGCAATTGCATTGGCGTTTTGAGTCATTCTCTGCTTGGTTTTTTGCGTTCTTTCTTTCGTTCTTGTCCCTGTATGGTGTACAAACGGTGAAACCACCTTGTTGGAGTGTTGGTTCCTTCACTTTTTTCATGCCTTTTTGTTCCTCCCATGTGAACCTAACGGGGTTTAATATACTCTATTTCAGGTTGTGCAAACAGCTAAGGAGATCCAAGGCATCACCCACAAAACCAGAGGACGATGTGGACTTGGATAAGAAAAAAACAACATGCGAGTAGGTTGAAGTACATGCAGATAGTTTTGGGACACCATGCAAAGTAAAGTCTCACCATTTTGGGTGAAAATAGCCTTTCCCCATCCTTGTGACTCAAGGTAGGAGCCGGATTTTTCCTGTTACTACGCGGTCTCTCCTATACGTTGTGCTGCTTCTTTACAATGTCTCTATATTTGTGATGTCCGTGCTTATCTTAATACCTTCAGACCTATTTTAAAAAAAAATACCTTCAGATCTAGATCCAGTATTGGCTAATTTTTTTTTGTTTACATTCTATATCTGTATTTTTGGTTTTGACATACTTGTTGTTTGTAGATAGTGCTTTAGTGTAGTGAATATGCTAACAAATTACGGAAAAAAAAGTAATCTTTAGCAGTAGTATTTAGTGCTTGATGTTGGTTATTCTGTGTTGGCAGCATCAATGTTACTTTTGTCACTCTGATTTATCAAGTTGAAATCAAGTGAGTCGTAGTTCTTCAAATCATTTAACACTTGCATTTATTTACTTGTGTTGCGCTTGTGTGTTGGATGTTCTTTCCCATGCTGTGATAAAAGAACAAAAAAAGGGTCCTTTGCCACTTCAATGGTCCGTAATGGTATCTCTTCTGAAGTCTGGTTGTAATCTTGATACGTGCTTTCTTTTAACTTAGCCCAAGCTTGTCATTCCAAGTTGAAGTCTAGCATTACCAAGAAAGCTATCGTGGTTTTGGCACTACAACTGAGAATTGAGTGTCTGCCTTGGCGAGTCGAGTCATCACAAGCTACGGAGTGTTTCCATCAATGGCTTTACTCTCTGCCAAATCTTCCAAAGCACTTGTGCCTAGTTCTATCGTCACTTCAACTTTCAGATCTTTGAATAGGTCGAGTGGTTCCAACTTCCAACTTCTTGGTTTGCAGTTCCTTTCTTTAGGGGTTGGCATGACCGGCTTAGGTGGGCTGGGTGGTGCAGCCTGTTGACCGGATCTAATTTTGTCACCCAAAACAGCTTTAACCCGCCAATGACCCTGAGGACTGCCTCGCCCTACCGGGTCAAAAAAAATGGCCCAATCCTTAGGTTATCGGTCTATTACCAGGCTGTTGCTTACAATAGCTTATCGTCTGTACAGGAATCAACATATCTTGACTGTAAAAAAAAGAGATTCAGAGCACGAGGCTGCCATCACCGAGTCTATGACGTCTTGGGAGGATTAAAAATACAGTCTTATTCGTATAGGTGGAGAGACTGGTCTTGCGATTCGAATCTTTGACGCCCAAATTATAATAGAATCACCTTACCGTTGTGTTAAGATTCACTTTGTATAGATTGACTGTATCTTATCCCTCGACATCCAAAAAGGTGGGGAAACTCAGCCCACACAAAATACATGACAGACACTGAGTACTGCAGCAGTGAGCGGAATAGCCAAGCAGCAGTTTCTTATGGAGTGACGAAATCAACCTGCTGTTGGAAAGCGACTTCCTCTGCTAGTGGATGCTACTTTATCCCGATTTGAAAAATACTACACAACTCAAATTGATGTTAGTTGTTCGACGTTGGAAGAAAGAAATTTAGAACTTATATTTTTATTACGACACCAGAGTCGGAAATGTCCCTAGAAACAATCAGAGCAAAATGAAGAAAACAATGACCAAAACTCAATCAGGCACACGCAAGCCATGTTAGTAGTTCCTTAGGCACCCATCATTCCTTTAAAAGAGGCTCTTTTAGTGCATCCCATTTGTCCAAACGTTTCTTAGCTTTCTCCACCTGAAAATTCAGACAATTACAATCAGTTGATTGATGTTTAGAAGTGTCAAAAACCCAATGAACTTGAATTATTGGGTTGGAGGGAGTGTCTGCAACTTTGAACTGCCAGGGACTAGCTGTTGATAGATGTAGGGTCGAACTTGAATTGGAGTATTGTCCGTGCTTTAGATCTCGAAGTTAGGTTGAAATTGGGTTTCAATTAACGTTAGATGTCATGTTAAAACTCATGTTCGATTCTAGTATTACAAACTAGGAGTTTAATTGGGCTTAGAGAACTCGAGTTGGGATCTATCTGGCCCCTAAAAATTAAAGATTTCAGCTCGAGTATTGTTTGAGTACTAAAAATATATGTTCGAGCATTAAACATTGTTGGGGTGCATTTGGATCGATAAACATAATTTAAAATTTGTTTCCTCAGTTTCAATTTTGTATCTAAAATGTTTTGCAAAATACTTTCAAAATGCTGATCAAAACTATGCAATTTTGATCGTTGCCAATAAGGGAAGATGGAATAACATATATTTTTAAAAGCAAACCACAATTTCTAAGATAGAATGTACCTCTTTATTCCAGTCCGTACGGAAAGTTACCCAAAGTAAGATGATTGTCTGCATCATGGTTCCTCCAATCATCCCCGACCATATGCCCTACAAACATAATTGTCCAACGTTAATATTCAAATTTCAAGGGTTTCATGTTTGATGGGGGAAAATAAATAGTCCACATATAAGAACTTAGGCAATTAAGACAATATCGCTTTACATAATTATACATAGTAGTTGAGTGTATTTTACACTTTGAATTATACGTGAATTTCAAAAGAATTTCAAAAAAACTTATGATGACGTTGTGTTAGTCCGAACATTAGACGACCTAAACTTGGACAAGAATTTTAGGGTTTATTATTAGTGGCATCCAATTTGGAAAAAAATAAATAAAAACAAATAAACTTTTTACAAGTATTTTTTTTTTTTTTTACAAGTAGATATGGTACATATGGCGAGAAAATGCAGGGCAAAAGAGTAATTAGTGGGCAGTGAACACATACCTTAGCACCAAGGTCGAATGTAAAGCCAAGAAGACAACCCAAAGGAATTCCTACCACATAATAACATCCCACATTTACGTATGCAACAAATGCTTGCCATCCACACCCAACAGCCACACCTTCAACATATGAAAATGATGTGAATGATAAGTACGCATAAAAATGGAGTGAGTTTGCGATATCGATAATGCTATTCGTGGTAAAATTGTATTATTATCGTTGGATTGATAACGAATCCCATTTAATATTGAGAAACATTGCTAATTGAAGAACAGTAGTGAATTTGACTAGCAAATTGGATGAGTAAATTTGACCCTAGTGACATTACTATTAGGTTTGGAGGTTGTGCAATAGTACATGTGTGTTTTTTGGTTCAATGGTGAAGCATGACTGGCCTAGTTTACATGCATCTCGACTAGTCTCTCCTTCGATCTGGTCAAAAACAGACCATTTACGTCAGCCTTGGTCCCAAGAGATTACCAAAATTCGAATTTAAAATGTTTATATTTACAGGTCGTTTCTGTTACCGCTTGAACTATCCCTTGAGTTATGTCTTCGTGTGTGTATTTGTTTACATTACAAATAAGATTCGCATTTAAAACTGTTTGGTGCTGTGGACAAGGTGATTAATGGCTCTCTTGGGAACGTCTTTAGAGATTTATCTTGATAATTGTCGGGTCTACGTGAGATAGGAGAACTACAAATCCCGAGAGGGTTGGTAGGGTGTTCTAAGAGACGCGATTCTCTCCTAGTTAGGAGAAAAATACTTTGCTATGATAATCATGCATTTAAATGGAACAAACAAGTTTTGCAAGCATACATTTTCATAGCCACTGCTCATCAGTGGCCAGGAACAAAGCTTTGCTCAGCTACTGCAATTGTGAAAACTACAGAACAAAGACAATCTTCATCACAATACTTATGTGGGAGTCTATGCCCTGCCAAGTTTCAATCAATCGTGTCACCTTTCACTTTCACTCAACCATGATGATGACTCATGGCTGAGACATCTATGTGGTTCGGATAAATATATTTTAGTGCTAATAACTCAAGATTTAAATTTGATTTTTTTGCCTAAATTATAATCTTTTTTGTATTTACTTCTATTTATATAGTGGTTTCTAACTTATTTCTATGTATATACAATTGTTTTACATTAAAGCACGATCTAATTGCACTTTCAATTTAAAATTTTCGGGTTTGATCCGCACGTTTCAAAGTTTTGTACTAAACGAGTGTTTTGCAAACATGTTTTTATATTGAAAAACATGAATTGAACCCATTTTTGACATAGAAAATGAATAGAGAAATAACTTCAAAATTATGAAATTCAAGGAATAACGTCAAAAAATTGTGGGTAACTTAGAAATTAATTCTCATTTTTGAGTCTCGCAAGAGGCGTTAAATTGACCTAGTGAATATAATTTTTAAGTAATTGTATGCATCTCCAATTTTGATAGTACTAATCTGGAGTCCAAAGAAACGTGCATGACTTTAATATACAATCATTTCAACAGACAAGGAGCAAAGCAAATTGATCACTCATTGGTATTAGTCACACATGACCATGATGATGCATCAGAAGATAATGCAAGCTTTTTCTTTGTTTTATATGCTAAAAATATGGAAGAATAAAAAATTAGAAAGATAAATAAAATACTATGTTTAGTAAAAAAAAAAAAGAAAATATGAAAAAATACTGAATAATCTTCCTTCTTTCTAATTTATCAAAATTTATCCCTATAAAATTGAGAGAAAAAATGGATAAAAAGTTAATTATATATGTTACAATATATGTTATTTATTTTTATATCTTTTAATATATACATATATAATAGTATGTACACATTAATTTCATCTATAAATATAATAGTAAAATATGCATCTATATTTGTTTCATCCTACCCTATACAAAAAAAATCAATCGTCTATAATTTTCATTTTTCCTACCAAACACAACGTAAGATAAAAAATATTTCTCTTTTAAATTATAGAAAATATATTACTCCCACTTTTTATTTATTTATTTATTATCAATAGCATGCACATATAAACCTGGCAGAGAGCCGGAGAGGAACCCACTAACCAATTCCCCTTTCCATTTTTTTCAATCACCTTGCCAAACCAATACAAAACAGACAAATTCAGCCACTGTAGATGGCTTTAGGCACACAAGGACAGCAGTCTGTCACCTAATCTTACTTTTGAGACTGATCAACCACTTTGGAGGCAAAGGGACACAAATCCATCACCTAATCATACTTCTAATCTTTTTGAATCTGGACACAATCTCACTCTCATGAACAATGGAAGTGCAGCTAGTGTAAGGATGATGTTTGGACTAAGGATAAAATTGTGTGCACAAAAAATATGCACCAAATTAATTGTAGTCGTTAGATCAGTGATTTAGTAAACACTTTGGGTGTGTATAATATTGTTCGACGAAGTTTTCATGCAACGAAATTATTTTTACGATTCTAACCCCTATCGCTGACAATTTAACAGTCTTATGGTTGTGTTAAGGCCACCTATTTAAGATAATAATAATTTCAAGTATTATCGATGTTGTTGAGAAACCCATACCGGACAAGACTGGTTGGACACCATTGAGAATGAGAGTGACGGCCAAGAATGGACAGAGCTCAGAGACAGCGTTTGCCACCGCTTCACCGCTAGTGAAGACGTAGCTAATGACGTGGCGAAGCGAGAGCACGATTATGGATTCCATCACGGCTATGATTAGGGAGATGGAATTCACCATTAAAACCGAGAAGGCTGCAGATTTAGGGTTCCCTGCTCCTAGCTCATTGCCAACCCTCACACTGTGACCCAAAAAATGATTCATAATCATGTTCAATTTAAAACAAAAAGACTTGCTGTGATTAACAAAGCAAAATGACAGAGGGTTTTTTTTTTTTGTAATGACATTATAAGCATAGTTTTGAACAACACTCATAATGGTACGTTACCATAACGCAGGATCAGAAAGAACCAATATAAATGGCAAATAAATTCACGACCATAATACCAATTACGTTACTAAAAAAGATGATGTGTATAGTATTGTTGTTACCTTGTCATAGTAGGGTGTACAAGCCCCAAACTAGCTCATAACGGTCATTACGAATTTGATTTTTCTGGTATAGATAATAAATTGAATCTCTTTTTTTTTGCCATATATTCTCAAAAGAAAAACCACAAATTCAAAATTGAACTAGCTAATAAGATGAATTAAAAATTATGTGTTTACGACAACAAAAAATTCATTATCAATCTCTAATAAGATGAATTCGAATGATGTTGGACACCATAAATATAAGGTAGGTCAAAAAAGGTTGATCATTCATAAGAACTGACCTAGCTGCTGCATTGAACCCCACTGAGATCATGAACATCAACCCATTAATTGCCGAGCTGCAATAAATCAAAAACGTTGTTTAAACTTACACAACAACATTGTTAAACCCAGAAATATTAGGATTATCTGTAAGATCTGTTTGAGATTTCAGCTCTTACTCTTCAAACAAAATCTAAAGTATCTCAATACTTTAGGGTCTGACAAAGATCAAATATACGCAATTTTATTTATATATACAAATAAATTATATTCGTGATTTGAATCCATGACATCCAAGTTGCGACGATGCAAACTTAACGTGGTGCCAAGGGCCACTCTCATATGAGGACACACGTTCCACACATATATCAAATTAATTATAATAACAAAGTTAAAGAGGTTAAATTTGCTCTATAATCACACACACACATGTACATGTGTTAACAAGTAAATAAAAAGTTTGCTTCTAACTATAGCGTGGCATGAAAGAGGTAAATGATAAATAATCTTACTCTGATTTTAGTGTAATCGATTTTTGGATTCGAAAATTAAGTTACTTGCAAATGAAAGTCAAAAATTTAGTCATATCAAGCCCTTTTAAAACCTGGTGGGGTATCAAATAATGGTGGCCATTATTGTCACTGAGAATATTGACTAAAAATACAAGAAAAACCTCACATGTAATTTATTAGATCAGCATTTTAGATCTAAATTGCAATGTTTTTGATCCATGCATGCCCAAGAAACCATGAAAAAAAAAACTTATACTCACCATACAGAGAGAGAATCCAAAGCAAGCTCTGGGTTTTTGAGCAACCCTGCAACCAAAACTAGTACCTGAAAATACCAAGTCTCCAAGCACAGCATCACAGCTGATGCAGATGACAACTTCACAAACTCCCACAGCCCAGAAAAAGCCTCCAATCGAAACCCAGTCCACGTGGCCTTACACTTATCACTCATCAATATGAACACAAACTGGGCCACCACAATGATCCACCATGATAAGCTCAGCACCAGTGATGCACCTATCAACCCTAGTCCGATCTTGTACACCACGACCCAGCTTAGCAACAGGTGCACCCCCAGGGTTGCTAGGGAAATGTAGGCACTTGGGGCCACGATGCTTTGTGCTTGGAGGAATTTTTGTATGGGGAAGTTGATGGCGTAGGCGAAGATCTGTGGGATGAGGCCGTAGACAAAAACTGCTGCCGCCGACGCCACCGCCGTTTGTTCGCCGAGGAAGAGGAGGATTTGTTTTGAGAGTACGTAGATTATAACCATTGGGAGTCCTGTCAAGGTGAGGACCACCGTGGCTCTTTGGAGATAGACTCCAAGCATTTCGTACCTGTGGGCCCCATAAGCTTGGCCACACAAAGTCTCCACTGCACTGCCCATACCAAGCTGCAACCAAAAAAAGATGTGTGCAGGCATTTCATCACGTCCGGTTGAGTTGTATACGATTCAATAACTTTCGTTCCAATATGTTGTTCTAGGTTTTATGTAAAACAAGACTCTCAAGCAATTAATAATAACACCATATAGTCTAATTTGTTTGTTATATATGTGTACATATCTAGCATATCAAGCGTTCGATACAGTTTTGTGATACCGTGGTATCTCTGAGTCGATAGCTGATACTACGAGCTTGAAGAGAGAGAGAGGGGGGGGTTACCATGAGGCCATAGCAAAACAATTGGATGCCTTGGTTGCCAAGAGAGGCAGCAGCAAGCTCAAGGTTGCCAAGTTGGCCGGAGAAGATCCGAGTTGACAAGGACATGGAGTTGTTGATCAAGTAAACCATGACTGCTGGAGCAGCAAGTCTATACAGAAGCTTAAGTTCAATCCATGAGGCCAAACGGAGACGCTTGAAGTTGGGTAGTTGTGTGTCCGACAGCACTTTCTCGAGCTCCGAGCTCGCTTCCAATGAGGTGGATGGTGGCTCCGGCGATGATGGCGGTGGCGGTATAGACTGTAAGATGGGTTGATGGAACTCATGTTGGGACTCCATGGTTCGTGTTCCAATGGACTAATAGGTTGGTTTCAAGCATATCTTTGTCGGTTTATATATGTGGAAAGTACCAAATAAATGTTAAAATACAGGTAGGAGTTTGCATTTTTTTTCCTTCTCCGAGCTTACACTTGTCGACGGATTACATTCAAATCAAATTTGGGTTCATCCGAATTCAATAAAAAAATCTATTATTGAAAATTTGATCCGTTTGAACGAATACAAAAATATTATGGTTAATCTCATTTTATACCTCGAAAGATTGTTCGAATCTCAATTTACACCTTCAAAGATCAAAAATCTCAATTTACACCCTCAAAGATAGAAATTTGTATCAATGTGCACCCTCAAAGATCAAAAATCTCAATTTGTACCCTCAAATATAGAAATTTATATCAATGTGCACCCCAAAGATAAAAAATCTCAATTTGCACCCTCAAAGATAGAAATTTGTATCAATGTGCACCTAAAACTAAAATGATAAATTATACCTAGATCCCCTCATACTTGTCACTTAATCATTTAGACCTCTTCACATTTAGAATATTAGTCTTATATCTTATGACATTTGTGCACTTATAACATGTAACTCATTTTCATTGATATCTATTAATATAATCGTTAAAAAATATAATTTTATCCTAATAAAAAATTATAATTTCATATTACCTTTTATTTTATGGGTTCAATATATTCTAAAGTTCAAAATCTAGTTTACCATTTGAATGTCTAATAAAATGTAAATATTTATATAATATTTTTCATATTACCTTTTATATAAATATCTACATTTTATTAGACATTAAAATGGTAAGCTTGATTTTCAACTTTTGAGTATATCGAATCCACAAAATAAAAGGTAATATGAAATTATAATTTTTTATTAGGATAAAATCATATTTTTTAACGATTATATTAACAGATATCAACGAAAAATGGTTATGTGTTACACATGCACAAACGTCACGAGATGTAAAGGAAATATTTTAAATGTGAAGGAGTTCAAATGATTAAGTGATAAACATGAGGGGATCTAGACATAATTTATTAATTTAATTTTATGTGCACATTAATACAAATTTCTATTTTTGAGGGTATAAACTGAGATTTTTTATCTTTGGGGGTACAAATTAATATTTAAACAATCTTTTATGGTGCAAAATGAGATTAACCCAAAATATTAGTTCATATCCAAATTTGTTTTTAATCAGACATTCGATACAATTACCTAATTCAATTCATATTTCACCAAAATTTTAAGAAATATTTTTTTTAAAGACCAAATACAAATAATCAATATATATATATATATATATATATATATATATATATATATATATATATATATATATATATATATATGTATTTGTATATAAATATCTATATAATAAAAAAATATATAGATAATAAAATAACTAGATTGTTTATTTTGAACTTTTCGCGGTTCAGATCATTTGAGAAGATTATTGATCTGACGGTTCTAATGCAAAATTTCTCCTCTCCCCCCAAATTTTTTAAATTATATAATAAAATAACTAGATTGTTTGTATTAGGTTTTCGCAACTCAAATCGTTTGAAGAGATTATTAATCTGATGGTTCTAATGAAAATTCCTCCCCCCACCCCATCCCATCCCAATTTTTTAAACAAAGTTTTTACTTTTTTCACAATTCTAAGACTCCAATCTCTCTTATAATTCTTTCTCTCATGTTATCTTATGCTTATGCAGTTCAAACGTCTCTTTCACACGTCTCTCCCAATCAACTCTCTCTCCCTCTTATATACTATGGCGACTAGTATAAAAATTAATCGTTAACACATTAATTAAGTCATTAATTATAATTTTATACAATTAGGGATTATTTTTAAAATTTTCAAATAAACAAATGGATGTTAAATACAAATTATTTGCATGAAAACGAGTTAAATAACTATAATATAAGTCATATTTCGTATTGAAATAAAAATATTATAATATTCAAATGGTATAATAGGCGAATAATATATAAATATCTTTCTCAGTGAGCTCTCTCTCTCTCTCACATATACTATGACGATTAGCATAAAAATTAATCGCTAACAAATTAATTATGATTCTAAATAATTAAATATTATTTTTAGAAATTTCAAATAAACAAATAGATCTTAAATAAAGATTATTTGTGTGAAAACGAGTAGAATGACTATAATATAGGTTATATTTTATATTAAAATAAAAATATTATAATATTTGAATGGTATAATAAACGAATAATATATATATATTAGACATAACCCGTGCCTAAAGACACTATAAAATATAAGATTTTAGTATTCAAAAATTGATCTCACTATACTAAATTTAAAGTTAATTTCTTTGCTTATATCATTTAAAATTAATTTTTATCTATTATTTTATTAAAAATAAAGTCAATTTTTTCAAAATACATAACTCAATATAATTTTTTAACACGTGTATATTATTGCATATGAATAATGTATGAAATAAAAGTTTTGTGAAACTACAAATTAACTAAATATTAAATGATTGAAAATGTGATAGAATTAGGTGATGTAATATTATTTGGGGGGGGGGGGGAATATATAGGGGATAAAATTCAATTTGCTAGCTGATTTATTATATAAATATGTAATTTGTGATATATCTATATAATAAGGGAGTTAATATTGTTTGTCTTAAACTTTTCGTTGGCTCAGATTATTTTAAAATTATTGATCAAACGATCAAAACTCCTCTAAATTTTTTTTTCTGAACAAAAATAACAAGAATTCTTTTATTTTACTCGATTATTGTTTTAAAGTGATTTTGATTAGAATTCGAATTGAGCTGAATTTGATTGTCGAGTATAAAATATATATTTTTGCTTAAACTTAACTTTACTTGAATTTTATAGGTATTCAAGTTGAAGTCAAATTGAAATTGATTGTAAAAATAATAAATAATAATTAAATTAAAATAAAATATGGGGTTACTATGAACACGAATAAATAATAATTAATTTATAAATTTAAGATAGAAGTGTTAATTATGTCAAACTTGAATTTAATTCTCAATTTGATGTGACTATAATTAAGAGTTGAATTGAGGTGAATTTGATTATCGAGTATAAAATATCAATTCTTACTTAAACTTAAATTCAATTGATTTTTACGAATATTCAAATTAAATTCAAATATAAATTGATCTTAATTTTTCAACAATTTTTTTTACATTTACGAAAATTCGCGTGAAACTTTTGGACGATATATTTATATTTTCTTAAGAGTAATGTAATACTTTTAAATATGGACAATTACTAGTATATATATATATATATTATATTAACTGAATTAAATTTTTATCAAATCGGATTTATATATATCCATATTTATATCCGATTCAAGACATATAAACGAATTCAGATCGAATTCGGATACACTTATGAACAAATTTCGGTCGGGTCAGATTAAATTCAATCCATCGACACTGCTCGTGCCTATTGTGGTTCTCTCTCTCTCTCTCTCTCTCTCTCACACACACACACACACACACACAAACCAACAAACAAGCACACAAACAGACTTAATAATGATAACATACCAAGGTACAAAAACATAGTTTCTTTTAAAAAGAAACAATAAGCAACGGAGGGACGAAATGGATTGCCGCTGTGGAAAGGTACGAGAGAATACCTAGACACTCGTTCTTTGTAAGTGGACTTTGAGTCTCCAGTTTCAAGAGGCATACCTTCGATCGATGAATATACAAACTCAGTGAGCAAAAGACTTCATTGATAATGGATGTAGCTTTAGTCTATCGGTTAAGGTGAACCACTTATATTTTTCGTCTAACTGATAACAAAAGATTAATCCATAATCTGCGAAACTTACTCAGAACATCATCCCATCATAGTTGGGCTTGAGCCATAAATTCCGAGCACCATCAATAATAATAGAAATAATTTTCTACATGTTAAATTCTTATTAAATAAAAATAATATAACACCCAAAAATAATATTTTGACACTATAACCAAATGCACGATGTTATTTGGACTTAATCATTCACAACAATTATTGTATTGATAGTAGACCCTAATATTTGTTGAAACCCACAATCAATCGAATAGTTCTGATGAATTAGGTCAACAAATTATATTAACATAAAACCAGTCTATGTTTTTTTTAAGAAAAGAAATAAAGTTTTGCACTGTTTGGCCCTCAACTAGCAAATTTGTGGACATCCCATTCATTAAGTCTCAGTGACATCAATGACAATGGAGGGCATAACTCCTTCGTTGTACATTAGAAATATTGTTCTTCAAAATGATATTACTTTACATATAAAACGACATCGTTTGGGAAATAACATCCCCTATTGTACATCATAAAAGTTGAACCCTGATAATGGATGGTGGTGTTGTCACTTAAACCTATTAAAACTATTAAACATAAATTTAGCCGCAATAGGTTCATGTCGTAATGAAGTTGGCTCACCAAATTTCGTAAAAATATTACAAATCCAATTAAATACAAAATATACATATCATAAACCCGACTACACACGATTCGTTTATATGTAAAGAAATTTCTAATACAAGTACACAACATGAAAGATGACAAGTCTTATTAAAAATTAGAATCGAATGGTGGCACTTTACTAAAGTGGATGGACAACCTCAGTTCTTTACTACACAAAGAGAATAAAAACAAAGTGTCACTTACCTCCCTATTAGTATTAGGTAATCACGCAATTTGATAATACATTGGATATATTAAATTTTCTCACTTTAAACCTGCACTTTTGTCTTTTATATTCAACAGAGCCATCCTAACTAAGATTCAGATAAGAATGGTTCATCAGAAACAATTTTTTTTTTAAAAGTGTGTTTAAAGTAAAGAAGCAGCAAGATCACGTAATCAAAATAATATGACACAGAAAACAAAAACTTGTTCAATGTACAACTCATTCACTACTACGAGATCTGCAAATGATTAGATTTACATAATTTTATACCTACGTGCAAAAGACTGTTTGATGTGCAAAACACATAA